ACAGGCATGCGCTACCACGCCCAGCTGATTTTTTGACTTATTGTAGAGATGAGGTCTCGCAGCCCAGGCGGATCTTGAACCCACGGGCTCGGGCAATCCATTCACCTCAGTCTCCCAAGGGCGCAGGATGACAGGCTGAGCCACCGAGCCCGGCTGTATTAGGCTTTAATACTGTTGGACTGTCTGTTCTTCCTCTCTCCCTTCCTCCCTCTCTTTCTTCCTTCCTAGATGTGGTCTCACTCTGTTGCCTAGGCTGGAGTGCAATTGTGCCACCATGACTCACTGCAGCCTTGATCTCCTGGGCTCAGGTGATCCTCCCACCTCAGCCTCCCGAGTAGCTGGAACTACAGGTGCCACCACGCACAGCAAATTAAAAAGATGGGGTCTTGCCATGTTGTCCAGGTGGACCTTGAACTCCTGGACTCAAGCGATCTTCCCTCCTCAGTCTCCAACTAGCAGGGCCTCTAGTCATTCTCTATGCATCTATTGCATGCCGCTGCCACTGCGGGTTCATCATTACCACCTTAAAGTGCGTTCTGAAGTCCGGAAGCTTTGACATCCCTACTTGTAAATCCCCCCTTCACGGTTTCCTTCCAGTGTTCTGAATTTCATTTTCCAAAGAAGTCTGATGATCATTTTGTTGTGTTTCCAAGAATAAAAAGTTTTTTAAAAGGGAGAAAAGGCAACAAGAGAGGTGGGGGGTGTGTGTGGTTTGCGGCTCAAATTGCAGGTGGTGAAAAGCACAGCGCAGCTGCCAGATTGCTCAGGGAGCAGAGGGTGCGTCTCCGGGCCCTGCTACCTGGCCTTGGGGCCTCCCAGAAGGAAGACTGTCCTCTACTTCCTGCTTCCTTCTTGAACCAGTCATCGCCCCTTTGTGGCCCAAGAGTTACAGCCGGTTTCTGCTCTGTGACTCCGATTTGGGAGACTGTCCATGCAAACTAGAGCTGGGCTGGGGCCCTTGGAGACGTGCTGCGCTGGTCAATAAGTCCTTAGGCAGCTCCCCATGGTGTCTCCCTGTAGAGGCTGCTCTCCTGGGCCTCGTGCCCTGGTCTCCAGATCTCTGAGCTGTTCCTGGGGGAGCACCTCCTCCTCCCTTCCTCTGAGCCCACAGGCCAGTCATGGGTTGTTTGTCTGCTCGGTGGTTTTCCCAGCAGTCTACTTCCTATAACCTATGGTCTGCGGCCAGCTGGTGTCTTAGTCCATTTTCTGTTGCTTAACAGAATACCTGAAACTGAGTCGCATGTCAAGAAATGAAATGTCTTTTTTTCTCTCTTTATGTTTGACTCCCTGGGCTCAAGCAATCCTCCTGCCTCAGCCTCCTAAAGTGCTGGGATTGTAGGTATGAGTCATTGTGTCTAGCCCAAACCTTTCTTTCTTTCTTTCTTCTTTTCTTTTCTTTTTTTGAGTCAGAATCTCCCTGTGTCACCCAGGCTGGAGTGCTGGGCTCAAGTGATCCCTTCTGCCTCAGTCTTCCAAGTAGCAGGAACTACAGGTACATGCCACCACGCCTGGCTAATTTTTGGATTCACTGTAGAAAAAAGGTCTTGCCAAGTTGCTCAGGCTGGTCTCGAACCCCTGGACTCAAGCAATCCTCTCACCTCTGTCTCCCAAAGTTCTGGGATGACAGATGTGAGCCACGGCGCCTGGCTTGGTCACTGCTGTCTTGAGCAGTGGCCATGGGACACAGAGCCTTCATCCACAGTCAGTCCTTAAGCCATCCCATGACCTTGACCCACTTCCACTCCGTCCTCAGGCCTCCACTTCTGCGTCTGAAACAGACAGAGCTGGACTTTGGGCCCTCTGTGCCCTACTCCTGCTCTGATGTCCCTGAGGAGCCAGAACTAGGGTGAGCTCTGACACAGAATTCCATTTAAATCTCAGTTATCAAGAGAAATAACTTTTTTTTTTTTGAGTTGGAGTCTCACTCTGTCGCCCAGACTGGAGTGCAGTGGCCGCTCCCGGCCACCGCAGCCTTGACCCGCTGGGTTCCGGCGATCCTTCCGCCTCAGCCTTCCGAGTAGCCGGAATTACAGGCATACTCTACCTACCACACCCAGCTGATTTTTTGATTTATTGTAGAGATGAGGTCTCGCTGCCCACGCGGGTCTTGAACCCGTGGGCTTAGGCAATCCACTCACCTCAGCCTCCCAAAGCGCAGGATTACAGGCTGAGTCACCGAGCCGGGCTGAGAAATAACATTTTAATGCAATGTTTACACGCAGTGAAAAGGAATCCACAAAATCTACGGGGAACAAAACGTCAAGATTCTAAATCGAGGCAGGATCTGCCTGCATGTGTGTGGCCCGCCTCTGTCTCCTCCTCCGCTCACAACTCCTGTCCTTTTCAGTGAGTCCAGTCTCCCTCTGCCTCTCTCACATTAAAGGATCCCTGGGGCTGCATTCAGGGCTCACCTGAATAATCTCCCCATCTAAGACCTGTCTCTTAATCCCATCTCTGCCAAGACCCCTTTCCCACATAAGGCATTCGCAGGTTCCAGGGATTAGGACCTGACATCCTTGGAGGCTCATTATCCAGCTACCACAGGGGAGTTCCAGAAAAATGATTCGGTGACACTTTGTGCTTGAACAGAATTGAAATGTACCTGTGTGGCACCCTGCCCACCCATGTACTCCCACCCACGGGTGCGGGCCTACATCTCTGCCTGCCCGTCTTCGTGGAATTGTCGCCGTGACGCTATGACATTTAAATGCAGGCCCATTGTTTAGGGGCTCAGCAAACCTCACCCACGGTCACAGAGATAAGTGTCTGAGTAAAGATTTGACTCAGCGACTGGGGGAGGCTGAGGCGTGAGGTTCGCTTGAGGCCAGGAATTCAAGACCAGCCTGGGTAACACAGCAGGACCCCAAAGACTGCAAAAAAATGTTTTCAAATTAGCCAGACGAGGTGTTGTGCACTTCTAACCCCAGTTACTCCGGAGGCTGAGATGGGAGCATTGCTTGAGGCCAGGAGTTCAAGATCAGTCTGGGCAACACAGTGAGACTCTATCTCAAAAAAAAAAAAAAAAAAAAAAAATTAACCTGGAGTGGTAGCCTGTGCCTGTGGTTCCAGCTCCTCAGGAGACTGAAGTAGGAGGATTACTTTAAGCCAGGTTTGCGAGACCCGCCCAGGCAACATAGGGAGACCTCTTCTCTACAAAAATTAGCTGGGCATGGTAGTACCTGTGGTCTCAGCTACTCGAGAGGCTGAGGCAGGAGGCTCGCTTGAGCCCAGGAGTCGGAGGCTACAGTGAGCTATGATCGTGCCACTGCACTCCAGCCTGATTCATCGAGTGAGACTCTGACTCCTTGAGAGAGTTTGGAAGCTGTGCTCCTTCCCTGCCCACCTCTCCTCCAGGCCCTCATAGGTGACCAGTATGGCCCCTGCCCGGTCCCCCCACTGATCGAAGAGAAGGAGTGGGAAGCATTGAGGGCCCAGCTGACCACCAGGCCCAGCGACCTGGAGCTGCTGGCGTGCAGCTTCCGAAGGGACGAGAACGCCATTCCTCCCACCTACGTCCTGCAGCTGCCAGGCTCCAAAGAAGCACTCGGGCCTGCGGAGACCACCCTGACGTCTGCCCTCCACTCCGGGGCCCAGGAGGCCCGGAGGCTGGGCCTCATCACGCAGGAGCAGTGGCACCGCTACCACCGGTCAGGTGAGCTATGGAGACTCTCTTGAGGGTCCATGTGATACTGACCACACGTTCAGAATGTTTATCGGCTCTTGGTAAAAATGCAACAGTGTGAATTTCTGTAAAGGCCAAACCTGGTTCCTGTTTGGAAAAAGGTTATTTTACTGAGACAAGATAGTCTAGCCATATCCCTGTTCAACCTGGGTCTTCCAGGATCTTCTTCTCCTCTCCTGGGTCCCGTTTCCCTCCTCCCAGGGAAGCTTCTGGCATGTGCGTGGGGGCGTGCTTCTAGGGTGACTGCCATCCCAGGACGCAGGATTTTTAGTGCAAAAATCTGGCAAGCCAGGCACAGTGACCCTTAACTGTAATCCCAGCGCTTTGGGAGACTGAGGTGAAAGATCATTTGAGGCCATGAGTTTGAGACCGGCCTGGGCAACATAGCAAGACCCCCATATCTACAAAAATAAAATAAAATAAAATAAAATCTAGTCAAACTGGAAAAGTGGATCACCCCATGTTGGCCCAATGACAGGACGAGCCATCTTGTCTGTGAGCCGTCCAGCCTCGCTGCACCTGCCTTTGAGGTGGAAACGGAGGCACAGCAAGGCAGAGCTCATCTGCTCAGAGGGGTGGGTAGATATCGAACCTGGGGCTGTTTGAGTTCATTCCCAGCTGGTGTGGTGCCACCTCCCCACGAGGGACCCGCTCCTGGGAGTCCCTCCACCTGAAGACCCCCTGTGCTCCATCCCCCCAGGGCGCCAACCTCCTCCCTGCCTCTGGTCGCTAGCCTCCCCCACCGCTCTGCCATCTTCCACATAGGTGACTGGTAAGATTTTTGTAGAAACACAACACAATCAAGTCATTTCTCCACTACTTCTGCGAGGAAGAGATCGGTTCTTTTTTTTTTTGAGTTTGAGTCTCACTCAGTCACCCAGACTGGAGTGCAATGGCCGCTCCCGGCCACCGCAGCCTCGACCTGCTGGGCTCCGGCGATCCTTCCACCTTAGCCTTCCAAGGAGCTGGAACTACAGGCACGCACTACCACACCCAGCTAATTTTTTATTTATTGTAGAGATGAGGTCTCGTCAAGTTACCCAGGCAGGTCTCGAACCTGCGGACCCAGGCCATCCACTCACCTCGGCCTCCCAAAGTGCTGGGATTACAGGCTGAGCCACCGAGCCCAGTCGTAGAAATAGGTTCTTGCTCACAAGTTAGTAAGATGCCAGCGTGTAGAGTATGAGTACATTAATTCATGTCACCCAAAACATATGAATTTATATCATCAACATATTCAGTATGTGAATTTATGTTATCAACTTAAATCTATTGATTTAGTTAAAGATATTGAATGTAGGAATTTATACAGAGTGTTTTAATTTTATTAATAATATATTGATTATTATATACACATCTATTCATTCTAGACATATCCTTTTGGGGGGGGATCTCACTCTGTCACCCACACGTGAGTGCAGTGACACAATCATAGCTCACTGCAGCCCTGACCTCCTGGGCTCAGGCAGTTCTTCCACCTCAGCTTCTCGAGTAGCTGGGACTGCAAGTGTGCACTACCATGCCCTAGCTCATTTTTAAAATTGAAAAAAAATTTAAAAATCTTTTTAATTTTTAATTTTTTTTTTAAGTAAGACTCTCACACTGTTGCCCAGGTTGGAGTGCAGTGGTGCACTCACAGCCACCACAGCCTCAACCTGCTGGGCTCAGGCAATCTTTCGGTTTCAACATTCCAAGTAGCTGGAACCACAGGCATGTACCACCACACCTGGCTGATTTTTTTATTTGTTGTAGAGACGAGGTCTTGCAAAGTTGCCCAGCCTAGTCTCAAACCCCTGGGCTCAAGCAATCCTTTTGCTTCCGCCTCCCAAAGTGCTGGGATAACAGATGTGAGCTCCTGTACCCAGCCTTTTTATAATTTTTAAAATATTTTTCTTACAGACAAGGTCTCGCTATGTTACCCACGCTGGTTTCAAACTCCTGAGCTTAAGTGATCCTTCCACTTCATCTTCCTGAGTAGCTGGGACTGCAGGTGCATGCCACCGTGCCTGGCCTAGTTCTATGCAATGTTATCACATAAACACTTCCATAGCCAAGACACAGAACTGCTCCCTCACTGAAAGTGAAATCACACAGTCTGTGAGACTGGCCTTTTTCCATCTCAAAACATACTCAGTTTTTCACAAACACTCTTCCAGAGAAAATTCTTACACCAGGCACAGGGTAGACTGGTACACCTGCATTACAGGGGAGGAAACAGAGGATCAGAGAGGTGCTGTGACTTGCCAAAGGCACCACAGCCTGCAAGGGGCAGAGTAGATGGTCTTGGATTGGTTTGTGCAGAAATATCCCCCAGAAGGATTCCAGTTCGGAAGCATTAGCCACCTTCATACTCTTCTTCCTTCCTGAGGCCAAGGGCTGGGAAGAGAGGTTTCTCCAAGAAGGACTTTTGAGTGGCTCTTGTCTTTGGCTTGAAGGCTGAGCCCTGTCTCCAAGGACCTGGTTCATTCGGCGGCAAGGAATTGGGAGCTGCCACTGAGCCCAGAGCCATGTCAAAAATAACCCTTAGATCTGACTGCTGTTTCAAAACAACAGACTTGGTCAGGCACGGTGGCTCACACTTATAATCCTGGCATTTTGGAGGGCTGAGGCAGGAGGATTTCTGGGGGCCAAGAGGTCAAGACCAGCCTGGGAAGCATAGTGAGACCTTGTCTCTACAAAAAATTCAAAAATAAACCAGACGTGCTGGTGTCTGCAGGCCCAACTACTTGGGGGGCTGAGGTGGGAGAAACCCCTGAGGCCTTTAGAGTCTGGCTTCTTCACTCAGCATCGTGTGTTCGAGGTTCATTCACATTGTGGCCTGTGTCAGTGCCTTCTTTTTATGGCTGAATAATACTCCACTGTGTGGATGGATCACATGGTGCAGATCCTGCCATCTGTGGATGGACACCTGGGTTGTTTCTGCCTTTTGGCTGCTGTGAACCAGGCTGTACAAGTGTTTGTTCGAGTCTGTTTTCAGTTCTTTTGGGCAGACACCTAGAAGCGGGTCACGCCACGATTCTCTCTTTGAGGCTGACAGTATTGTTTTATGATGGGCATCCCTCACACAGGGTCTGCCCCAAGGGTTCTCCAATGGATAAGGGCTGAGTAAGTGTGGCTCTGGGTGCAGCGCCCAGACCAGCAAGCTCCACTCGTTGGAAATGAAAACTCATAGGCCCAGTCAGATCTGCTGAATCAGAGCTTCTGGGGCCAGGGGTAGACAGCCCTGTGTGTCTTTTTTTAGACGCCCAGGGTCTGGAACATGTGAAACTTAGAAACACCGCACCCCCCTGCAGGTGTCTCCCGGCACCCCCACGCAGGCCAGCTGATGACACAACCATGACCCACTTTTTCTTTCAGATTTCTTTCTTTTTTGAGTCGGAATCTCACTCTGTCGCCCAGGCTGGAGTGCAGTGGCACATTTCATGGCCACTGCAGCCTCAACCTGCTGGGCTCAGGCGAGCCTTCTGCCGCCGTGCCCGGCTAACTCTTTTTGATTTGCTATAGAGACGAGGTCTTGCTGAGTGACCCAGGCTGGTCTCAAACCCCTGGACTCAGACAGTCCTCTCGCCTCCGCCTCCCAGAGTGTGGGATGACAGGTGTGAACCCCCTCGCCTGGCCCAGTCGTGACCCACTTTCTCTCTGCCTCCCCCACAGTCATCGAGTGGGAAATCGAGCAGGGCCTGCTGAGCTTGGAGGACGGGTCCCAGGGAGCCACCGTCTTCCTCCGTGAGATCCAGGATCTCAACAGGCACATCCTGGACGACTGTGCCCTTCAGACGGTGGACTGGCTCCCAGACGGCTGCCTGGACACCGACGCCCAGAGCCTTCTCAGGGGACTCAAGGAGCGCATCGCCACCACACAGCCCGGGGTCCTCCAGGCCCACTGCCTGCCATGGAGCCGTGACCTGGTGAGCCCCAAGAACAAGGCTCACATGCGCTACCTGAGGGAGCTGGGTGAACAGTTTGTGGCCAGGGCCAGCTGGCAGGTCCTCGAGCACCTTCGTGAGCTGGAGGGGGCCCGGCAAGAGCTGGCATGGCTCTACCAGGAGATCCGCCACCACCTTGGGCAGAGTTGGGAGGCCGCCCAGACCTTCTGCGGACGCCAGGAGCTGCTGGCTCAACTGGGGCTGCAGCTCCAGTGGGACGATGGCCGCTTCCACCCACCCCTGGTGCTCTTTGGCTCCCCGGGCATTGGGAAGACAGCCCTGATGTGCAGGTTGGCGGGGCAGGCGCCAGGGCTGTTGGGGCACAAGACAGTGACCGTCCTGCGGCTGCTGGGGACATCCCAGATGAGCCAGGATGCCCGCGGCCTGCTCAAGAGCATCTGCTTCCAGGTGTGCCTAGCCTATGGGCTGCCCCCACCTCCCTCCCAGGTCCTGGATGCCCACAGCAGGCTGGTCCAGTTCTTCCACGGCCTCCTCCACACCGTCTCCTGCAGACACTTCGAGTCTCTCGTGCTTCTGCTGGACTCCGTGGACGACCTGGCCTCCACTAGCCGTGCTCAGAGGGTTCCCTGGCTGCCTCTCCGGTGCCCCCCCGGGGTTCACCTCATCCTCTCGGCCTGCTCAGGGGAAAGAGGCTTTCTAGACACCCTGCGGCAGAGGCTTGTGGACCCGGAGGCCTACTGGGAGGTGAAGCCCCTCTCAGGAAGCCAAGGACAGGAGATGGTCCAGCGCCTGCTGGTGGCTGCAGGGAGGACACTGTGCCCGGAGCAGAGGGACCTGCTCTGGGCCAGCCTCCCAGAGTGCGGGCACCCTGGGCGGCTGAGGCTGGCCTTCGAGGAAGCCCGCAGATGGGCCTCCTTCACCGTGCCAGCCCCTCTGGCCGCCGCCACCGAGGAAGCCACACACCAGCTCTGCGCCCGGCTGGAGCAGACACATGGGCGATGCCCTGTAGCCCACGTGCTGGGTTACATCGTGTTGTCCCGGTGAGTCACTGTCTTACTGATAACTTCTTTATGTTTTTGACTGTTTCTTATTTTTTTGTTGAGACTGGGTTTTGCTCTGTGGCCCAGGCTGTCGTGCAGCGGTGCAATCATTGCTCACGGCAGCCTTGACTTCCTCCCTCCTCAGCTTCCCGAGTAGCTGGGAATACAGGTATCATCACACCCAGCTAATTTTATTATTTTGTAGAGAAGGAATCTGGCTATGTTGTCCAGCCTGGTCTCAAATACTTGGCTTCAAGCGATCCTCCCGTCTCTGCCTCCCAAAGTGCTGAGATTATAGGCGTGAGCCCCCATACCAGGCTAGATACAATTGTTATTTGTTGATTATACCTCAACAAAACTGAGAAAATAAATACATACATACATTAAAAGAAAAGAAAAGAAAAGATCCCCCACATCACTGCTGGACCTGACGAAAGTTTTGGGGCTGTAAATTCCAATGAACCCAGGTCACAACAGACCAGAGCCATGACTCGGAGCTGCCTGGTGTGACCAGGGAGACAGAAATCACAAGCAGCAGAGAAGAGGGTGCGGGTCAGAAGTACCCAGGGATCCTACCTGCCTCCCCCAGGAGGGGTGGAGGCCAGCCGACAGAGACATAAGCAGCAACATTGAGTCTCCACTGCAACCAGCCACCAGGAAGGCTCAAGTCATTGACTGAGTGGCTGGACAACGGAGTTGTGCGTCTCCCTAGTTTGGGGCAGTATTTTCTTTCTTGGTCTTTTATTTCAGACAGCGTGGTACCATAAGTTAGTCTAGATGGTGATGGTCACTCTAGCAAGAGATTTGCTTGTTTGCCAGAAATAGAAACCTACTCATGCTAGTCTTAAGCAAATCCCTGTGCTTTGGGAGGCCGAGGCAGGGGGATCACTTGGGGCCAGGAGTTCGAGTGTAGCCTGAGCAACATAATAAGACACCATCTATTTTTTTTAAAATTCAGTAAATAATTCAAGTTGAGGCTGAGCATGGTGGATCATGCCTATCATCCCAGCACTTTGGGAGGCCGAGGCGGGAGGATCGCTTGAGGCCAAGAGGTTGAGGCTGCAGTGAGCTATGATCAAATGACAGCACTCCAGCCTGGAAGACAAAGCCAGATCCCATTTCAAAAGCAAGCAAGCAAGCAAGCAAGAAAAGCTTTATTCCAGGGGGAAGCTGAGAAACCAGCCACCTTATCCCTGACTCCAGGGGTATACCCCAGATTTCGTGCTGTACCCTGATATCATCACTGGTCTGGACTCTACAAGGGTACAGCGATGGACTGGGTGTTGTAGAAGGGAGGGTTCCGTCAGGATGCTGGCGAGTCTATGTGGGAGAACTGAGTTGTCATGGAAACCAGAAAGTCATGAGAATCAGGGCAGTTTCTCATCCCCGTGCCCTTTGGGGTCCACTCTGCACATTGGTTTCTCTTCTGGACTCTTCCTTTCGCCTCCCTAGAGCTTCAGCTTGTCTTGAGCCTCAGTTGGCCTCAGGCACTCATAGTCTGGGGACCAGGCGCCATTTTTCTGGCTTCTGCTTTGAGTCCCAATTCCAAAATCCAGGGAGACAGAAGCCACTTGGCTTACTTGGTAACAGTCTGGTCTAATCAGTAAAGCCAGCATCTCACAGGGTGTAGGACCGTCCTCCGGGGGGCTGGCGGGGGAGGTGGTTATGAAGGGTGATGGCAAGGGGATGACTTGGTGACCTCCAGTTCCATGAAGATGTGTTGACATGCAGAGTTGGGGAGACGGGATGGTTGAGAGCCTGGCTCACGGGCAGATCTGAGTTCTTTCTGGGCTAGAGATCCTCACCGCAGGGTGACTCTGCCCCCTCGGGGGACGCTTGACAGTGTCTGGAGACATTTGTGTTGACACAACTGAGAGGGCAAGTGCTCCTAGTATCTCTAGTGGGAGGAGTCCAGGATTGCTACTTAACATGCTCCGCTACAGTGCCGCAGCAGAGAATGATCCAGGCCCAGGTGTTGATAGTGCAGAGGGTGAGAAACCCTGCCTTGGCATGAGAGAGCCTGTCTGTCGATCTATCTGGCTGTCCTTCCATCCACCCGTCCATCGGTCCATCCTCCATCCGTCCATACACCTACCCATCCATCCATCGTATTGTCCATCCACCCTCTCAACCATCCAGTTATCTGTTGTATCTATCCATCCACCCGCTAATTCACCCATCCGCTCATTATATCTATTCTTCCATCTATCCATTCCTCTATACTCCCATCCACTCATCCACCCACCATCCATCATGTTTAACAATTTTATTTCTCTCTATCTACCTCTATATCTCCCTACCATCGATGCCTATCTATTTCTACTTCTATATCTACATATATCTCTGTCTACCATCTATAGATATCTATCATCTCTATTAATCTATCAACTCTATCTTTATATCTCTCTATTATTTATAGCTCTCTTTCATATACAAATATCATCTCTACCTATCTGCCTATCTAAATTGTCAATCTATCTGCCTATTATCTTTATTTCTCTCTAGCCATGATAAATCGATCAATATCTATATCGAGCTTTCTGTCTCTCATCTGTGTCTATTATATTTATCTTTCTTTTTATATTTTTATTATCTTTTTTACCATAAAGATGTGGGGTACAGTTCAGGCTTAGATATATAAAGGTTGATTATGCAGGTGCCCTTGTGGATGAGGTGTGCCCCTCCCTCCCCTAGCAGTTTCCCTCAGCTGCCACTCCTACTCCCCCTCTCCTGACAGTTTCCCGCTACTGACGATCCCTTTCTTATAGTATTATTATAATTGTTCCAGGTGCACTTATAAGTGAGAACATATGGAACTCTGTTCTTTGTTTCTGTGATAGATCACTGAGTATGATAGACTCTAAATCCATCCGAGTTGCCGCCAAGTCCATATGTCTGTCCATCTTTATGGCTGCAAAGTATTCCATTGTGTATATGTACCACTTTTTTTTATCCAGTCCAGCTTCGATGGGCAGCATGGTTGATTCTGTCTGTCTTTCTTTCTATCTATCCTTCTTATCTATGTATCATCTATCTCTATCATCTAACCATCTAACATATTTATCTATCATCCTACCTGTCATTTATTTATCCATCTTATCTCTCTCTTTCTCTCTCTCTCTATCTACCTACCTACTTATCCGCCTATCTCACCTATCATTGATCTATCTAGCAGTCCATTTTATCCACCTGTCATCTATCTCTCTATCTGCTGTCTGTCTATCCATCCATCTATTCCTGTATCCTATCTGTCTCTCTCTATCCACCTATCTTGTCCGTCATTGATCTATCCAGCTATCCATCTTACGCACCTATCGTCTATCTACTCATCCATCTAGTCTATCGATCCATCTATCCTGTCTATCTATCCACCCATCTATTCGAGCTATCTGTCTATCTATCCTATTATCAATCTATCTAGCTATCCGTTTTATCTTCCTACCGTCTATCTATCTGTCATCATCTCCATCCTGTCCGTATCTAACACCTAGCCTATCTATCCATCCATCCTATCATCTATCTATCTAAAACCTATCACCTATCCTATCACTGATCTGTCTAGCTATCCATTTGATCTACCTATCGTCTATCTATCTATCCATCCATCCATTCTGCCATTTGTCCTATCTATCTATATCTGTCTGTCTATCTATCATGTATCTATCTACCTACCCACCTATTTATCTATTCTATTATCACTGATCTATCTAGCTATCCATTTGATCTACCTATCGTCTGTCTATCTATCCATCCATCCTGTCTACCCAATCTATCTATCCATCTATTCTTTCTGTCTATCTTGCCATCCGTTCATCTCTCCTATTTATGTATCCATGTGCTTTTGTATCTATGTATCTATCTATCCTATCTATCACTCAACCAATCAATCAATCTTCTATCTCTCTACATACAGTTGACCCTTGGGAAACACAGGAATGAGAAATGCCAACCCCCTGGACAGTTGTAAATTTGCATATCAGCATCAGCTCCCTCCAAATGTAACTATTAACAGCCCATTGTTGACTAGAAGTCTTGCCAGTAACATAAACAATCAATTGACATATTTTGTGTATGTATTTTATCCTTTATTCTTGCAATAAGGTAAGCTGGAGAAAAGAAACTTATGAGAAAAATCATGAGGAAGAGAAAGCATGTTTATTGTTCGTGAAGTAGGAGTGGATCGTCAAAAAGTTTTCATCCTCATCGTCCTCACATTGAGAAGCTGAGGGGGAGGAGAAGAGGAGGGGGGGAGGAGTAGAGGGAGGGAG